AAGAAAGGACTTGTATCGCTGAAGTTTTTTTTTGGGGGGGAAAGAATTTCTACGGAAAATTAACCAACGACTAGAGAAGTAAAAATATCATATTCTGTCGTTCGTTAGAGCTGAAACCATTACGATGATTGTTTATGTGAAAAATTGAAAATCTATGTTTGCTTATTTCGGGGTTCGTTATAGTTTGAAAGCTGACTCTGAATTTAAAATCTGTATGTTGACTGTTTTTCTATTAGAAATATAGCCTTTTTCGTAATTTATGAAAGTTTTGAGCATGGCTTTTACAACTTCTCACGAGTGGTGGAGTCCATTTATTTTTTCACAAAGCTGTTTTGGTAAAAATTAATACTAATTACACGTGATTAGAAAGATTAATAATCAACATATTTTCCGTTATTTATTAGCATTCTTTTAACCCAATATAAAATCTGTATGACGCGCAAGGCTACTTTATCTAGCTACTAGTTCTCTGGTGGGTCAGCGGTAGGTTTTCGAACTCATAACGCTAAAATCTGGATTTCAATTTTCCGCGATGGACAGAGCCCAGCTGGCTAATTATGCAGCTTTGTGCTCAAACAAATAAACAAATAAAATGACTGGCTACTAAATCGAATACGACTCACTGTGACTCATTGCAAAGATACCTGTAGACAAATAATTAAACGTAACTTTTGAATGTGAGTAAATAAATAATTTTAAATATAAATTTACACAAAGATAACATTTTAGCATGCTATTAATTATATAAATCGTTTGGGTTCTTAGTGAATCTTCCCTTCATTTTTTTTACTGTATGACTTTTTTTTCTTTGCTCGTTGGGAACCCCAGGTAGGAAATTAGTAACGATAATTACATACAAGAAAATAAAATCATTAAACAACTGCGTTTTTTGTACAGTATTAAAGGAAACCCAGTTTTTGTCAGAAATGTTTAATAACTTTCTCTTTCACAAGCAATAGAACTGAACAAATATTTACAAGCATTTATTTGTACTCCGTTGAACAAAATCAAAAGACTGTTTAAATATTAAGACTACCATTAATAAAAGCTTTATAAAAATATGAGACATCAGTGAAGCCTAATATTTCTATACAGTGGAGGTGTATCTATTTGTTTCATTGATGAACTAAATCTAAATATCTTTGAAAATGTCGAGGATTTTTCCTCTTGCGCAGACGATCATGTAAACGCTAAAAACTGAAGAACTTGTATGTTGTTTCTAACAGAGCCAGAGATTGAAATATATAGCATCTATATGTACAAATGAAGCACTGTTAGAAAATCCTTGATGTTTTGTTGGCTTGTCTAGTTGAACGTTGTATTTACTAATGACTAAGATTGCGAAATGCAACGAGCACGTGGACACGAGCCAAACCAAACAGTCTGTCCACCCAACAACTCCACATTGAATCAAGTTATATACGCGAAAGAGTTGAGCTCGCTCTCTATAAACAAACTGACAAACGGAGCAACATGGAAGACTATAATAGCTATCAAGAGGAAAACAACTTCGGCTATAATTTTTACAAATTCATTCTGATATGTCATTCCAGTTAATTTCCACTTGTGATGCCACCCGTTAGGATTCTGTGAGTGTATGAGATACGTACCATAGTGAAAGGAGTTGAAAAACATGTAAATACTGTTACGTATTAGAATTTCAAATAGTCCGAAGCCGTGTTAACTGATAATTTATATTTACTAGTGAAGTTATACTTTGGATTTAGTATTTAAATATATGCCGATATTTTAGTCAGTTTACGATATTTGCCAACGAGATTGATACATACCATTTTCGTTTTTAACACAAATACATTTTAATATACACACAACCATACAATTTACAATAACAATTATTACAAATAGTTATTACAAACAAAGATCTATAAACAAAAGTTTCACAAACTTACAAACAATACAAAGTTTTCTTTCTAGTCTGGAACTTCCTTGATATCTTATCGAGAGTTTACTATGAGCGAATTGATATGCACAGCGTGGTCACAAGTAAATGGACACCACCTTCTCAGAAAAATGAAAATTTTCAGTCATATTCACATGAATTGAT